ATGCTAACTTGTAACAGCCGGAGGTGAAATTGGGTCAGCTTTGAAGAAAGCCACCATCAAGCCCAGAACCCTAATGCAAAAGAGAATGGAGGGGTGCCTATAGGAAAGAAGGGTCTGAGTATGCAAGAAAAAGAACAGACATTAATCTGAAGGAGCACATACTCTGGTTAGGGCCATGTGCAAGACTAGGCCCAGGTCCAACACTGACTTCTGGAAGCTGAGGATCCACCTGAAGCTCTTTAAAGTCTGCACCACCTGCTGGACACTGGCAGACAGGTCCTGGACTGAGCAGTCTTTTAACAGAAGGTCACCCCACAATGCCAACACCCTGAAAGAGCAAAAGAGAAAAAGGACTGAGGCTAACACGTTTGTAAAGACCTGTGGCACCATAGACATACCAAAGGGAAGAGTAACAAAATGAAAAACAAAAATGCTTGCCCACATCAAAATGTGAGAAGTAATGTGGAGTGAAGATGGAAGATACGCAAGTAACGATCCTGGATGTCTATATTCACCATGAACTTCACCCACTGAAGGGAGGCAAGGATTGACCTGACAGATTCTAATGCCAGGTGCTGAACCCAAAAGGAATTTGCTGACATGCTTCAGATCCAAAATAGGGCAAATGCCTCCCTTTGTCTTGCGATTGTAAAAGGGTTTGAGTAGAACCCCTGAAATCTTTCCTCAGCTAGGATGGGTACAATGACCCCCTAGGCACAATAAATGATTTAGGGCAGCATAAAGATCTTTAAGTCTTTGTAGAAGAAAGGCAAATTTGAGGGCATGAAGAAAGGGGGGGGAAAGAGTCTGAAATGCTATTTTGTAGCCCCTGGAGATGACAATCTGGACCCATACATCTAGAATGTTCTGGGTCCAGATGGCCGCAAAGGTTGACAGTGCCCCCCTACTTTGAGAAATGGGGGCGCCCCCTTATTTAGGAGCCAGATTTGTTAGGCTTAGGTGTCCAAGGTTTGTGGCAGAACTGGGAGCAGGACTGAGAGAAATGAAAAGGAATCTTTCTGGGCTCCAGATGGGTACAGTCCTCGAGGAACTTGCTAGCTAAGGGGCACTAATCCAGAAGCTGCAGGAGGACAGCCATGAAGGCTAAAGAGTAGTCAGAAGCTTGATAAAGGAAAAGAAAAAAAAAACATAGTAAT